GGGGGCAGGGCGGTTGGGCAGAGGGGGGCCGGCCACAGGGGCATGGGCACAAGAGGGCCATGCCCTGGGCAGGGTGTGGGAGGGCACGACGGGCGGGCAGGCTCGGATCCGGTGCTAGGGGGTCCCAGGACAGCACCTCCATGGGGCCCCCCTCTCGGAGAGAGCATCATTCTGGGGAGGGACACCTATGAGAGTGTGTGCACAGACGGGGGCAAAAGCACACGGGTGTATTGGATGGTGAGTGTGCATGTGCGAGCCCCAGTGTGCAAAGGTGTAAGTAATGGGGGCTGTGGGTCAGGAGGGGGCACAGGCAGAGAGGGGGCTGTGGAGCAGGAGGGAGGGGCACAGGCAGAGAGGGGGCTGTGGGTCAGGAAGGGGGGCACATGTGGGTGAGGAGCGGGGGGCACCAGCAACCCCCTTGTGCAGGATCTCTGGGCCCCCCCTGCGATTCTGGGACAGAAGCTCTTTACCTATCGACGGCCCCGTCCTGCACGGCTGGCCCGAGGCTGGCGGGGGGGAAGCTGGTGGGGGCCGGGCGCGGCGGTAACGGGGGCTTGTCGTCCTCCCCATCTAGAAGGAAGGAGCAGAGCCAAGTCACAGGCCACGGTGGGACCAGGGCCTTGTACATCTCCACTAACTGGCTCACATCACTGGGCCCATCCACCCTGGCATCCCATCTCCTGAGACCCTGGCTCACATCACTGGGCCCATCTACCCTGGTATCCCGTCTCCTGAGACCCTGGCTCACATCAATGGGCCCATCTACCCTGGTATCCTGTCTCCTGAGACCCTGGCTCACATCACTGGGCCCATCTACCCTGGTATCCCGTCTCCTGAGACCCTGGCTCACATCAACCAGCCAGAAGGAAGGAGCAGAGCCAAGTCACAGGCCACGGTGGGACCAGGGCCTTGTACATCTCCACTAACTGGCTCACATCACTGGGCCCATCCACCCTGGCATCCCATCTCCTGAGACCCTGGCTCACATCACTGGGCCCATCTACCCTGGTATCCCGTCTCCTGAGACCCTGGCTCACATCACTGGGCCCATCTACCCTGGTATCCCGTCTCCTGAGACCCTGGCTCACATCACTGGGCCCATCTACCCTGGTATCCCGTCTCCTGAGACCCTGGCTCACATCACTGGGCCCATCTACCCTGGTATCCCGTCTCCTGAGACCCTGGCTCACATCACTGGGCCCATCTACCCTGGTATCCCGTCTCCTGAGACCCTGGCTCACATCACTGGGCCCATCTACCCTGGTATCCCGTCTCCTGAGACCCTGGCTCACATCACTGGGCCCATCTACCCTGGTATCCCGTCTCCTGAGACCCTGGCTCACATCACTGGGCCCATCTACCCTGGTATCCCGTCTCCTGAGACCCTGGCTCACATCACTGGGCCCATCTACCCTGGTATCCCGTCTCCTGAGACCCTGGCTCACATCACTGGGCCCATCTACCCTGGTATCCCGTCTCCTGAGACCCTGGCTCACATCACTGGGCCCATCTACCCTGGTATCCCGTCTCCTGAGACCCTGGCTCACATCACTGGGCCCATCTACCCTGGTATCCCGTCTCCTGAGACCCTGGCTCACATCACTGGGCCCATCTACCCTGGTATCCCGGTCTTGAAGCGTCTCACCTGGACTCCCTGGGACGTCTGGGGGCACAAGGGGGGCGGAGAGAAGCCGTCAGCATGGACAGGGGCCAGCCCGGCTCCGCGCGCCCCGCACAACCCGCCTGGGACCGAGCACCAGCTGGCAGCCGGGCCCTGGTCACCGCACTAAGGCCAGCCAGGTGCCCCCAGTAGCCAGCCCCCAGGGCACCACACTGAGACCAGCCAGGCACCCTGAACAGCCAGCTCCCTGATCAACCGCCCAGCGCAGCCAGCGTGCGCCTTCGTCCTTCCCCAGAGATCCTAGCAACAGCCTCTGGATCTACCGTCCTCTCTCGCCTCCTCCGCCACCTGGACCTCCACACCCGCCCTTCCCACCCCGCTCCCTAGCCAGGGCTTTTCTCCTCCCCACCGCCAGGCCCCAGCCTCTCTTCCTTCAGCAGCGCCCAGAGACCTTGACTCCGGTCCCACCAGGGTTTCCTGGAAGCTGGACGCTTGGGTGGCCACCCAGGAGATTCTTAGCACCTAGCTGATTAGCAGAGCTGGCAGCACATGCTTCTACTGGTGGTGCACACCCACATGTGCCTCAGTGCACAGAACAACATTTATTCCACACAAGGATGGAAAAAAACCCTGAGGGAACACTGATCCCCACATGTGCCAGGTGCGGCATAGACGCCAGCTGAGATCAGGGCCTCCACGGTGCTGCCCAGATCCCGACAGAAACCAGGGCCTACCCAGATGTGAGTGTTCAGTAGGGACGGCACATGCCTAGGAGGAGACAAGGCGGCAGAGAGGCTGGTCTAGGTGGACCCCGGTGAGGTCCGTACAAGGAACCAGGGGGTCACAGCACATCTGGCCACCCCGCCGGAGCCTCCCTTGACATCTGCGGACAGCTGCCGCCGCCCCTGAATGCTCCTCCTCATTGCCCGTGACTGGCCCCCTCCCCTTCTTCTCCCTCATGTCCCCTCCTCCGCTGCCCCTCGCGCTCAGGGCCAGTGCTTTCTCCTCTTTCCACCCAGAGCCCTCCCTTCTGCCACACGGCCTGTCAGCGCTAACGCCCCCCAGAGCAGGGACTGAACCGGGAGCCTTTGGGAGCCTGGGGGCCAGCCTCTGCCCCCGGAGCTAAAGGCAGAGCCTCTCTACAGGTTGGACCTCCCTGGTCCGGCACAGTTGGGACTTCACCAGCCCTGAAAAAATGAATTTGCAGGACCAGGGGAAGTGTCCCCCGACATGGACCCCGAACCAGTCGGTCCCCGGCCTCTGGCCCCTCTCCCCTGCTCTGCCGCTGCTGGCCCTGGCCCTGGGCTGCCTTTGGTGGCTGGGCTTCTCCAGCCCTGACCCTGGGCCTGGCCCTGGGCTGCCTTTGGCGGCTGGGCTTCTCCAGCCCTGACCCTGGCCCTGGGCTGCCTTTGGTGGCTGGGCTTCTCCAGCCCTGACCCTGGCCCTGGCCCTGGGCTGCCTTTGGCGGCTCGGCTTCTTCGGCCCCAGCCCTTGCTCAGCCGG